CACTTCTTTTGATACAGCCCAGGATACGGTTGGCTTTCTGGGCTGCCCGTGCACATTGCCGGCTCATGTTGAGCTTCTCATCCACCAGCACTCCCAAGTCCTTTTCCTCAGGGCTGCTCTCAATCCATTCTCCACTCAGCCTCTACTTGTGCTTGGGATTGCCCTGACCCACGTGCAGGACCTTGCACTTGGCCTTGTTGAACTTCATGAGGTTCTCACAGGCCCACCTCTCCAGCCTGTCAAAGTCCCTCTGGATGGCATCCCTTCCCTCCAGTGTGTCCACAACACCACACAACTTGGTGTCATCTGCAAACTTGCTGAGGGTGCACTCGATCCCACTGTCCATGTCACCAACAAAGATGTTAAATAGCACTGATCCCAGTATTGACCCTTGAGGAACACCAGTCGTCACTGGCCTCCACTTGGACATTGAACCGTTGACCACAACTCTTTGAGTGCGACCATCCAGCCAATTCCTTATCCACTCCATCCGTCAAAACCATGTCCAGTTTAGAGACAAGGATGTCATGTGGGACAGTATCAAATGCTTTGGATAAGTCCAGGAAGACGATGTCAGTTGCTCTTCCCCTATCCATCAATGCTGTAACTTCATCATAGAAGGCCACCAAATTAGTCAGGCAGGATTTGCCCTTAGGGAAGCCATGTTGGCTGTCACCAATCACCTCCTTGTTTTCTATGTGCCTTAGCATAGTCGCCAGGAGGATCTGCTCCATGATCTTGCTGGGCACAGAGGTGAGACTGACTGGCCTGTAGTGCCCTGGGTCTTTTTTTTTCCCTTTTTAAAAATGGGGTCTATGTTTCCCCTTTTCCAGTCAGTGGAAACTTCACCAGATTGCCACGACTTCTGAAATATGATGGACAGTGGCTTAGCAACTTCATCTACCAGTTCTCTCAGGATCCGCGGATGCACCTCATCAGGTCACATGGACTTGTGCACCTTCAGGTTCTTTAGATGGTCTCGAACCTGATCATCTCCTACAGTGGGTGGTTCTACATTCTCACAGTCCCTGCCTTCGCCTTCTGTGACTTGGGCTGTGCAGCTGGAGCTCTTACCAGTGAAGACTGGGGCAAAGAAATCTTTGAGAACCTCAGCCTTCTCCATATCCCGGGTAACCGGGTCCCCCGTTTCCTTCTGGAGAGGGCCTACATTTTCCCTAGATCTCTTTTTATTGCTGACATATCTATAGAAGTTTTTCTTGTTGCCCTTGATGTCCCTGGCCAGATTTA